AGCCTATTAGGTGGGGGAAACTTGGTAAGTTATTCAACTTTCAAAATTTCAAATGGAAATAGGTTAACTACAAATATATTAACTTGATTATACCTAGGCCTAGTTAATGTAATAGAAACAAATCCAATCGATTGCAATGTAGTCCTAATCATAATCAATCTATCCCTACCTAATCACTGTATTAAAATAGTCAAAGCTGAAACTCAAAAAAGGAAAAACCGGGGGAATTATCTAGAGAAAATAACCACGGGATCCTAATATGTAATATCTCTAGAAACTAAATTATTACCTAGAATTAATGGTGAAAAACTTTCTCTGCTGAGTTAGGTACAATTAAATAAACAACAATCCCAATCTGTGATATCTTCATTATCTTCTTGTCTTGTCTCTTCTTCAGTTCTTCTCCTGTTTTAGTAACAGGAACGAAAACGAAACGAAACGAAACTCTGATTAGGTAAAAACTTCTTCTTCTTTTTCCATTCTTGCTTGCTAAATAAACAGCTGGCTTGGTTAAACTACCATGTAACTACACTATTTTAACTTATACGAGTAATGTCCAGTGGTCGAAACTCGACCAAAAATATGTAATGTACTCACTTATGTTAATGTTTCACCCCACACTGTAAATAAAACATGTGATTGGAATTTCTTCCATTTGTTTTGATTTTCTGTTTATATTTCGTTGTTATTTCGTCACCAGCATGGCAACGCATAAGATCCATGTAAATTTTTTTCAAATTTTTAAACTCATTTTTTGCGCTTATCTTTGAGCCTATTTAAATTTATAAAGGGATTCTGCACACCTACAGGAAAATAGCTTTCTAACGGTATGCGTAGATTTTCCCTACGATGCACTTGAACTGAGAAAAAAGGTTTTAAAGAAACATGCTTGCCTATTAATATATAGATAGATCACGACCGAAGTATAAATTTATTTCAAGTGTCTGTTAATAAGATGGGTAGTTTCAATTGTTTTCACTTATGTAAACTGAGGTTATTACCGTTAATTTAGTGTGGTTAAAAGTTTCGAGGCTATATGTTTTATTTTCAATCTTTTAATAAATGTGTTAATAAATTTTAATTGAAATGAATAACACGCGAATTAATGAGCTGGTGTCACCTGTATGCCATGTTATCCAGTACCATGTTAACCAGTAAAAGTATATTAAGTTTCTGCTTTCTTTTCCTTAATGTGCAAAGTTTGTGCATGGCTAGAATCCTGGAACTAGAGATGACACTTGCTGTAGATGAATACAAACTGTTGTGTTTTACAGAACATTGGCAGAATGAGGAGCAAATCAAGCTAGTGAATTTAAGTGGGTTCTCCCTCATTTCAGCTTTCTGTAGACCTTCTATAAAAAATGGTGGTGTTGCTTTCTTTGGAGCCCCCTGTGTCATGGACTCGGTCACGGTGATCGATGTGCGTTCTTTCTGTCGTGAGTTGCACCACGAGTATGTTTGCCTAAAATTGCTGGACATAAATGTAATTGTTATAGGTGTCTATAGGTCCCCTGATGGTGACCCTGCTCTGTTTCTAGATAGCCTTGAAAGACTAGTGCTGTCATTGGAAGGTGACAGGAAAACAAACCATGTTATTTTAGGGGGTGATTTGAACATAAACATTCTAATTAAAAATAGATTGACCGAGCTTTTTATCAATCTTTTAAAGTCACTCAATCTGTACTGCTCAATCTCGCAACCGACGCGTGGAAATGCGTGCCTTGACAATGTAGCAACTGATCTTGTGGAGACACATTTCAGCGCGCAGGTAGTGAATCTTGGTATAAGTGATCACGATGCCATAAGATTTAGCCTTTTTGATGGATCTAATGATAGCTCGCCAAACCCAGGTAGGCCTATTACCTATCATAGGTCTATCACACCTGCTAATGTAAATAGCTTTATTCAAGCACTGGACGATGTTGAATGGGAAAAGGTGTTTCTTAATGGCAGTGCAGAAGAAAACTTTATAAACTTTTTTAAGACTTTCCTTTTAGCATATGACGAGTGTTTTCCTAAAAGGGCCAGGCGTCCTCGCATTAAGCCTAAAAAACCTAGTTTCCCTTACTGGAAAGACCCCAAACTTGTTACACTTAAAAAATGGAAGCATCTAGCCTATGACATATATAGAAATTCACCAACCGATGAAACAAAGTCAAGATACCTTAGCATTAAAAAGGAATTCCAACTTAACCTTAAACGCGCTAGGTTTGAACATAATGTAAATTTCATCAATTCAGCTGAAAACTCCTGTTCGGCAGCGTGGTCTGTCATCAAAAGAGAAGGTGCTCCTCAAAAGTCTCCTCCCAAAACCAACCTGTCTGCAGAGGATTTTAACAACTTTTTTGTGACTTCTGTTCAGCGTACCAGGGACGCCATTGGGACTCCAACGACTTCGGCCATAGAACTGCTCGAGAGACAGCCCAGACCCTCCAGCACTCTTGATTTTATGCCTGTACCATGTGAGAAGGTCCTGTCTGTTGTACAGACACTAAGGAGCTCCAAATGTAAGGATATTTTTGATATTTCTGCCAGTTTTGTTAAAGATACTATTAGTTCTACCGTTCTTCCTTTAACTTATTGTATAAACTGTTGTATTCTGGATGGTATTTTTCCTAAGATTTTAAAACTGCCAGAGTAGTTCCTATCCATAAGAAAGGAAATCACAATGTTCCAGATAATTTCAGGCCCATATCTATTTTACCTGTTTTCTCCAAGGTGTTTGAAAGAATTATTAAAGAACAACTCTCTTATTACTTAGAATCAAATAACCTGTTGACAGATGCCCAGTTCGGTTTCAGGTGGGGCCGCGGCACAATAGATGCAGTGTACTCTTTGACTAAGCCTATCTTTGAGTCGTTTGAAGGTGGCGGTTTTGCTGGGGCCACCCTGTGTGACCTCAGCAAGGCCTTTGACACTATTGACCATGAAATTTTATTAAAAAAGTTAAATTTCTATGGCTTGAATGCTAAAAGCCTTGATCTGCTGAGGTCCTATCTGGCCGAACGCGGGCAGCTGGTGTCCCTAAATGGTAAAACCTCAAGTATCAGAAACCTAACCCATGGTGTTCCGCAGGGCTCTGTACTCGGGCCCCTGCTCTTCAATGTAATGATTAATGACCTTCCCATGTGCCTTGGTAATAGTGTTGTTTGCTATGCAGACGACACCACAATTGTGGAAGCTAGAAATAGTGCTGTTGAGTTGAACTTAGCTTTGAACCAATCTTTAAATGTTGCATCTACCTGGTTCCGGGCAAACTATTTCTTTCTAAATCAAGATAAAACCCAATCTATTGTTTTCAGTCTCCGAAACATTGAACATGAGGTAACAAGCGTAAAGCTTTTAGGCATTTACCTAGACTGTAAGATGGATTGGAACAGCCATATTGATTATGTTTGTAGCCGACTGGCTAGGGTTGTGCACTTGCTTCGTAAGTTAAGGTACTGTGTACCAAAAGAGTGGTTAAGGACTGCGTATGTGGCTTTTTTCCAGAGCATCATCACTTATGGACTGAGACTTTGGGGTGCCGCTCCTGGAGTCGAGAGAGTCCTACTTCTCCAAAAAAAAGGCTATACGAATAGTAGTAGGGGCCAAGCGCCTGGATCACTGTGAGCCTATCTTTAAGGCTGAATCCCTCATGACGGTTTATAATCTGTTTATCTTCCAGACCCTCATCAAAACTAAGGAGGAGTTGGGCGCTCTCGAGCTCAGGAGTGACATCCACTCGTACAATACTAGAAGTAAACAGGATTTAAATGTACCTTTTGTTAGGCTTAAGAAATCACAAAGTAATTATGACATTGTAAGCCTAAAACTATTCAATGTGTTATCTTGTTCAGCCCGGAACCTCCCAAGTAACCATTTCAAAAGGGGCGTGGAATGTCTCCTCCTGGCCAACCCACTGTATAGTATTGATGATTTCTATAAACTAAAACAAGAATATGTAAGTACTTTTTTTTGACTGATGTTTGCCGAGTGTGCTGTTTTGTTTTCTTTTTCATTCTTTGCATGGTGAGTTACAGGTCACATTATATATGCATTTCCTTTTATTATACGATGTTGAAGGAATTTCTTTTTATTCATAGATCTATGTATATTTTATAATGTAGAATTTGACGTTTTCCAATTACTTGTATATTGTAAGTTTTACAGGAAATAAATCGATCTTATGTCTTATCTTATGGCACGTCTAGTGCTAGACAACACTAATTTGCAACGTTGCCAATTCGACCAGGCCGCGGCCTGGAGTTAAAGGTGGCCGTGGCCTATTCCAGGTGGAGGGAGAGAATTCCCATTACACATAGACATACTATATACATCAATATGCAAGTTATGCTTAGGTTAAAATTGGATTGGATTTACTTTAAAAAAAAGATAAATCATCAAAATCATATCAGATCAAGCTTTTGTACAAAGAGCGAAGAGTGTTAAGTTTTGCACAGTTGCATGGCTTTTTACCTTACTAAATCGTGACTGCATGTAAAAGTTGGGTGACTAAGCTCAGCTGTGTGGTGTGGTGAGTTGGGTGAGTTAGCTTCACTGAGCTATAATTCTAACTGGAGGTAGCACTGAATGTCAAAGATGCGTGTCGCCAGCCGCCATGTTTGCGTGAGGTGTGAGTTATAAGAAGCCATATTATTGCTATGGCTATTATTATACTTGGCTTAAAATACCTACTTTGTATGGTCGCCATTTCAAAGAAAATTATTAAAGTATTCAAAGTATTCAAGTATGACAAAAATACTCACTGCTATACCAACCTAGTTATAAGAAGCCATGTTATTGCTATGGTAAGAAAACTTACTGCTATACCAACCTAACAAAATCAGCGACTCGCTTTTGACAGACTTCTGCCATGGCAGTGCTACCTCCAGTTATAATTTTAGCTCAGTGGTTAGCTTTTGCTTTCTGCTAGTCGTTACCAGCTGTCAGCTGTCCGTCTAATAACCTAACCTATTATTATTGCAATTTCAATTAGGCCTACATTACATTGAAAATGTAACTATGAAACAGTTATTTATTATTAAATTATGCTGTGCCTATTTATCTTACTAATAATTTATAAGACTGAAGTGTAAGTAAAATCAAAATTAAAATCTCAAAAAGGTTGGTTGAGTATTATTATTGTGCTTTGCTAAATTGAATACATTCTGTGTGTGATCAAACAAAAGAGGTTAGAGAAACAGTTATTAAATGTATGTAATATTTTAGAATAAATTATCAAATATGTACCTCCGTTTGAGGCTAAACCAGATGAAAAACAGCTACAAAAATATTTTGTCTGTAAGCAATAAATTACCTCAACTTAAGCACACACATCACAACATAACCTTAACCTCATGTACACCAAGCATCAATAATAGAAGCCTTTTTACTTTTGGGTCATGCAACAAGTATGTTAAAAATCATACCCCAGCTATAAGACCCCTCAAAAGATATTTTCATACCACTCCACCCAACAAAGCACTCCCTCCAATTCTGTGGGTAGTATTAAGGGGCCTCTTAAAGTTTGGCGCCGTAATAACTGGTAGAGGATTAAGAAAATGGTGGGCATCTTTGCCCAAGAATAAGAGACATTATATTTTGCAAAGGTTGAAAGAAAATCGCAAAAATCTAGCCATAGTAGCTTTTCTCACAAGTGGTGCAGTGTACGGTTATTACATTTCCCATCTCGTGGAAGATCCGATCACAAAAAGAAAGAAGTTCCTGATTTTCTCCGAAAATCAGATAATTCAAATGTCGAATATCGAGTGTGATGTTCTGCTAGAGAACTACAATAATAAGATTGTAACATCAGGCTACCACTACAATCATGTCTTGAGGGTAGCTAACCGAATCCTTCAGGCGAACAAACATCTACCAGGAACTAAAAGAACTTGGAAAGTATTCATCATCGATGACATTGATACGAAAAATGCATTTGTTTTGCCTAGTGGGCACATATTTATATTCACCGGAATGTTGGCTGCTGTCAGTAATGACGACCAACTGGCTGCAATCTTGGCTCACGAGATGGCTCATGCGCTATTAAGTCATGCGGGTGAAGTTGCAAGCAGGACTCATCTATTTGAGTTGTTGTTGCTTATTCCGCTTCTTGCTCTATGGACGTTACTCCCTACCTCAATGGCACTTTCCTCACATTACCTGACGGAATATTTAAGCAGCATCCTATTCCAGCTGCCAATGAGTCGTAAGCTTGAGACAGAAGCGGACACAGTAGGATTAGAAATGTCTGTTAGAGCCTGCTACGATCCTCGCCAAGCTAGTGCCTTTTGGAAGAATATGGAAAAAATGTCTGAGGAAGCTGATATCGAATGGTTGTCTACTCACCCTAGCCACCGGACGAGATATCAAACCATAGAAGAATTGATGCCAGGAGCTTTCCATATTCTTGCTCGCCATTGTACCACACCTGATAAAATGGACCCTCGTTTACCAAGGTAGGCAAAATTATAATCTAATTACAGCTTAAACTTTGGGGTATTCTCAAAAAATTAATAATGATGTAGCACTAAGCTGCTTAACAATGAGTAGAACTGTAAGTACGGTAGATATGTACTGTGTGCCATGTTCATCAACAAGCAAGAACTATTTGGATCCTATGCCAAATTCTTTAACCATCTAGAACATTAATAAGGTATTCTCGTATATATTTTAACTACTGTGAGTAATGTTGATCTGAAACAACGAATTTTCTATAACCTACAAGTATTGCAATAGGCTAAGGTTTTTTTTAAATATCAAATCATTACAAATTTACCAAGTCCGAATTGTCTTGTTCACTAAAAAAGCAACATCACTTGTTTCAATTTAAATATAGGCTGTTAAAATAAAGCTTTGGTTAAGAGTAGTCACAGTTGGCTGTTTGAAATTGTAAGTCGTATTTGACCAAAATTGGGCTACAGTAATGTAGGCCTGTCGAAAATGCTTTCTACAAGGTGCACTATGAGATCCTCCATTTTCAAATGGGCGCCAAAAATATATATGGTAGGACTTCCTTCAATTTATCTATTTCTCATTGAACGTAAACACTTTTTATTTTGCAATGCACCTGTAACAAATGCATGCGCTCACTGGTCTGATAAACATTTATATTCTTTAACAGTAGATTTTTATTTTTAATCAGTTCGCATTAAAATTTTTTTTAGTATAAACCTAATGATCTTTTCTTAAACGAACCTGCTTGTAAGTGTCTTCTAAAACAACATAGCCACCAGAAAATACCTCGCTCTAATGGCAGCAACATAGCTGGCTGTGTCCAAACACAGGTTCTGGAAGATAGACTCAAACTCCGCCAATCGACTGTCCTTGCGCCTTTTTGATAGTCGTTGCGAAAACTGGTATTATAGGGAACTGTGTCTGTTCTAATGCAAAAAGGAGCACAATGTCAAATTTTGCTAGTCAAGTTAAACCTTAAAATTAGTACCGAAGCTTTAGTTAAAACCTCGCCGTCAATTGAGTTTCTGAGCAATCCTTTGACACACATTCAATTCTTTTCTCCTACTGGCTTCGCTAAGTGTGATTTTGTATGCTCGGCATAGCATGGAACTAAAGCCTGCAGTTGGGTGGAAGATGAATAAAATTGCTGCTAATCGTTGTGTCCGTTTGAGTGGGTCTCCTGTAGATTTCAAAGCCTATCTTGTTGTCTTGAAGCAATACAAGGCAATACTAAGCAATACAAATTGACACTGAGGTGCTAAATAATAGTAAGCAATAGGTACTGAACTCATGGTTATAAAAAAACACACCAATGTCAGTAATATTTATTTTTTATAGCTGTGTAGGAAAAGTGTATGAAAAAAATAGTAAAATATTGGAGCAGAGCTTCACTGTTGTTTTTTTTTGCCAACTGTGCACTTAACAATGAAAAATAGCACCTGCCAATGTTAACGCTCTGGGAAAAATTGAAACTTTGACCTCTTACTTCTCGGGACCACTGTAACTTTTTCAACATGTCAGACCTTAAATGACACCTACTCAATCAGATCTTTCAAATTAGATATAAGCTAACAAAATCGGTTGAGAAACCACGGAGGAGTTCTGATTACAAACTTCTTTTTTGCCTATTTTATGTATGGGATAGATAGATGGATTATATAGGCCTATTAAACAAAATTTGTACATAAGGTAAAACATAACGCCTTGATATGCAATAATAGATTTATTTGTTAACAATAACAGAACCTTAAATATTTCACGAATGACGAGTTGAGTTTGAAGAGTGGTTCAACAACTATAGAGAGAGTACTGTAACAGTTTATTTACAATATATTCATTTTTACAACCAAATGTTTTAAATGCACTAGAGCGGTTATGAAATCAGATTTGTCTATCTACTATACAAGGATTCTGTACGGTATGTAAAAAACACAGTTAAAAACTAAAATTTATTTTTCCAGAAGACACATAGCTCTCGGATAACCATAATGTATTTAACAGTAATTGACTGGGTGTAGCAAGTGAAAACTGACCTTTTATGAAGACCTCAGGAAAAGCTTTAGAGGGCCTATTGGAAAAATGCCAGTCCAGTATTTAGTAGTAATGGAAGGTCATAAACCAAGGTTTAGGCCTACTTAATTGTGAACCTGAAAAATAGTTAGAAAATTAGTTTAAAAACCAAACATTTTAAGTGAATAAGTACAGATGTTTTTAATTAACTTGAGTAATTTTTCTGAAGTTGGAGTTTCCTAGGTGTGAAAGGGAAGGTAATGTTTCAAGTAATATAATACTTTTTCGTAAAAGCAAAGCGAACCGCCTCTAATTTGCTTCTCTACACTCCGCTCTCCGTGTTTTTGTGCTTCGCTTCTGCTCCTAGGAAAATCCAGCTTAGCCGTTTTACTTATGCCTACATTCTTTTAGTGTCGGTATCATACTGTTATTTAACAAAAGTTATTATATTATTTAATAATTTAATGTTGTTAGAGACAAATCTTGAAGATGTATTGTTAGTTCTATGTCAGATTGTCAAATATGATCTTTTATCTCTTGAATTCGATAAACATAAACAATAAACGAGCTGGTCTAGTGGTTAGCGTGGGGCTTCGGTCCCGGGTTCAAATGCTGCCATATCACCAATGGATTTTATTTAAGTGATAATGCCGCAACCCCAAGGTCTATCCTAAAGTAATGTGACAAACGATCCTAGGGTAGTGCCTAGCGTTCTAGGACAAAAAAAAATAAAACGTCAGTTTGGAAGTTAATACGTCACTCAGACCTGAAACGATTTAAGTAGGATATTTGTTTCATAATTCCATAAAATTCACAAAAAACAACAAGTTATTTAAGAACTTAATTAAAGTACTGTAATCAGACATTTTGTTTCCAAAAAAAGCTATACCAGATTCAATATACAAATTAAAAACAAAAAATGTCTACAAAAAAGTTTTAAAAACTTCATTCTTAACATAAGACGAAATTGGAAGCACAAACAAACTACCTAAAAAGTAATCTGGAATAGATATTGTGTTATCTTTAATACATCTTAGATTAATTTATATATAGATCAAATTATTTATTTTTTCTGCTTCAGATTGTAGTACAAAGTAGAAAACTATGACATGAAAAAAATAGTGTTTGGACTTTAGCTTAAAAAAATGTAAAGGTTAATTTGTTGGCAACCAGATCTGTACTGACAAAACTTGCAAAGTTTCATTACCTGCAAAGCATTTACATTTAAAAATGTAAATCACAAATACATAAGGCCTAGGTATCCAAAATGTTATTTTCTAGTCATTTTGAGATGTTTTACCTTTACCTTGTATTTATTGTTAAGTCATAATAGAATAGACAATACGCTAACTTTAAAATAAGTTACACAAATACTTGAAAAAACGTTTTCACAATTTGATTCATCCTACAAAAATTGTCATAAGAAAAACACAAACTAACACTTATCTTACATTCAAACAATTTTTAAAACACGCGCATGATAAAATAAAAATAGAAAAAACAAATATGAAATATTCTAAAACCACTTAGAGCGTATCAAACTAACACAAGACAAACAAATCAATAGAAGTTTATTGCACTTAAATTCATGGTTTACAACAAAATTTACCACCCATATTCCTACCAACTTTCTACCTCTAAACAATTCATTATTTACAAATCTACAGTGCTATCTAAAAATATACAATATACCATAAATAATACAGGATTGTTAACAAAAATAATTAATTCTTAAATGTAAAGTAAATCAAAATCAGTAATACAACAGGATTCGTTTTGCTATCAGGGGCGTAAGATTTCTGATAGGGATTACACTTCAAGGCACATAACTTCTGATGGAAAGTCAAATTTTTGTTGAAAATATTTTAAGAGATTCACTTATTATAACAAGAAAAGCGACTAAACAATTTGCATTAAAACATGTCTAAAGATGTTTACATAACAATTAATTTACTTGATATACTAAAATAACTTGAAAGGCGTAAGTTTTAAAACCAATGAAAAATACTGTTAATTCTTACTAGACGTGATAAACAATAACACTATGTGAACTTATGTATCTTACGTCCCCTCAAACTAAGTTTCGAGACTAATTATCTAAACTATGTTTAATAGAACCTCATTAATGGTGTCGCAAAGATATCATTATAGAATTAAAGACAAGTTTTAGGTTCAACTATTGTGTTTTAATAACTAGTTGTAACAACCTTAATACAAAATATAATGTTCTACAAACCTAAATACAAAAATATGAATTTCAGTCTACAGCGAATGTTGGCTGTTTAGTTATTGGTCTTTCATCTAAATGTCTCAAACTAGAGTGTGACTTGCGGAATACACCTCTAACTGAAATTTGATTTCTGTTCACAATATTTCTGATGGTTTGGGTTTGGTAACATGCTTCCCACCTAATTACTGAGTTCTAAATTTGTTCTTTGTAACAGATTTCTACTGACTATGTTGAAATTTTCCAAGTCTACGTTATTTTAGGAGTTCACTCAATGTGTGCAACCATTAACATTGAATCTTATAAAATCTGAATCTTGTTTTTGTATGTTTAATGCTCAGATGTGTTTTGTAGTTTAGTGTGAATTTTCAACGGTGACAATTTTTTGTATATCAGAGAACAAGCTTCAGTTTGTTAGATTGTTCTACTCAGTAATAATAATTTTTTGTTGGTAAAAAATAAATAAAAAGAAGACATCAACCCACTCAAATGTGACTAATCATAAACACATCTTAAAAATTTCTTCAGCTATATGAGGATAATAACCCACAGGGTACCCACTCAACTGAAAACCTTGAAATTTGGAATGACCTGTGAATTTGAATTTAAACAAGATTGAGCCAAGAATGTTTGTGGTTTATCTTAAAAAAATAACCGATTCCAATTATTATAAATTCTTAAAAACTGATGATATCAAGGAATTGTTGATTCTCAAGGTCGCTTAGACATTGTATTTAATTGTGCAAACTTAAAGATGAGGGTGGC